GTATAAAGAGGTGATAATGGCATAAAATATAGTTTCCCAAACAGAATATTGAAGCGTGGAACAGTCTCCCCAAACACGTAGTGTGTGCCAAAACTGTGCATCATTTGTAAAGTTATATGATAATATAAATATAGCAGACGGGACCACCTGAGCTTGCTCTTCTCCCGTATTGAAACAACTAGGTAAGAACAACTAAGTAAGAACACACACACACGCACACGCACACACACACACACACACACACACACACCACCAACACACACACACAACACACACACACACACACACCACACACACCACACACACATACACACACACCACACACACACACACACACACAACAACACACACACACACACACACACACACACACACACAGCACGCACACACATTCACACACCACACACATATATACATATATGTTTATTGATATATGTATGTGTATATATACATAAAGTACTGTTATAATATATGTATGCATATATGCATTATATACAGATATATGCACAGAAACATACATATTTGTATATAAATATATTCATATATATATTATATATGCATATAGACACATATATACATATGTATGTATATGTAAACACACACCACACAACAACACACATATATATTGTCAAATGAATATTTGTGAATATATACCCTGCGATAGGGGTAGGAGGGTATTTTTAAAAGGGAGGCAAAGTAGGTTAAAAAAATATATATCTGGGGGTCCTGAGAGCCAGCGCCCCTAGGGAGAAATAGGGGGCAAAGGAACTGGATTTTAACAGCTTTAAAGAGATAAACATTCATTTCTGCACCAAAAGTGTCATGTACTTTTATAAATAATATTTAACACAATATTTATTTCATTTTGAACACCAGACTCAGCTGCAGCTACCCTCTCAGTTGCAGAGGGTCAGTGTTCTCAACATTGGGTAAGCAAAGAATTGCATTGTTTGTTTACAAGGGATGGCCTCGAAAGTTGAGGAGTGGGTGGGCAGAAGTTGGGTCCCGCTCCCCTTCATTTTCGAGTGGGGGCGACCCCTCCCTATTCCTGTGATATTTAGTGCTTTTTCTTCAGCAGTGACTACTGTTTAGATTATTTCTGTTCGATCCTTTCCTTCCCTGACTCATACACAAACTACACAAAACGCTGCCACCAGAAGATCAAGGGAGTCTCCTATAGAAGTATCACGGTCTTAATAGATACAGATAAATGTTAATCAGGAGTGAGTAGAAAGGCGGAAAGCTGTGTCTCTTCGTAGTGTTCGTGCGTGTGTTCAGGCCTTTGGTAGCGTGGATGGTCGGGGAGAGGTGTGCGAGATTTACTTGCATTGAAGGATCAACGAAGAACTCCGTGGAACTAATGATCGTATTACAATCTTATTATACTTATTATTATTATTATTTTTTTAAAACAAGGTTCACGGGTGGGCAACACTAAGACTCACTGTGCGACCTTGAGATTGCAGTGTCACGTTTTTTTTCTATTCATTCATACTTTTTTCACCCCAAGATTCTATATACCTTATCACCCTTACGGCACTTATGCTTACGGTCTCCTTTTTCTACAGAAGTTGCACATTTCCCGATCGTTCAACTATCTTCACCCTTTCCATGCGTTTCTTATTCACAAAACCTTTTATATTATTATGCATATGTTTGTGGGCAACATCATTGGCGGTTGAAAGAAAAGCAGCATCACATGACATACACTTATATTTGATTAAAAGCACTTGAGAAAAAAAAAACATATGCATATGAATTGACGCCGCGGGGATCATAAGATACACACACACGCGCAAAAAGGGAAACAAACCGAATTAAACATCGGGTTTCGCAAAATTAAGATAGGAGGCTCCATTTTAAAAAGAGATGATGGGTTACTAGAATTATTTCTATTTCCAGATTCCCTTGACCAAAAGACAACTCTCTCTATATATACATGTGTGTGTGTATGTGTGTGTGTGTGTGTGCATGTTTTGATTGCGTGTGTCTTTCTGTGTGTGTGTGTGTTTCTTTGTGTGTGTGTGTGCACAAATGTATGTATGAATATATAATCTTGATACAGATATCGATTAATGTATATAGTCAAATAAAGATAACATATGTTTGTATAGCCTACTTTATCTTATCATTTCAGCGATAACCAGTGTTATTAATGCTAACTTTCATGAAACATCTGACAGTGTCATTGTTCCTGTGTGCCTAAAACAGATATTTGCAGACAGTTCCAAATCATTCCAGCGCTGTTGAAATCCTTTTTTCTTTATCAAGAAGTGATGAAACAAACAGAGAGATATCAACTATTAAATCTCACATAACGCAGCAACGGGTTTCTGTTAATTCTAATCTTATTACTGCCCTCTGACGTGATGCCAAATACTCCAAGGTCTTGCTACTGTCCATCGCTGCTGAGCCACCATCAGACGATACTTCCGGCCCTTTAAAGATGGATCTTCTTCTTCCAGTAGTTTTTTCACCTCGCTAACGGTCGTCTGTCCGT